GGGGTCAGGCCATATCTGGCTAGGACCGGCGCCTGGTCCATTCTCTTCGTGTATTCCTCCTCATTTTACATTGCTCCTCTGATTTGGCCTGTCCTGATGGGGGCTGTATGCCCATTCTAGTTCTGTGGAGACACAACCAACACTCTCCCCCCTGCCCCCCGCCCCGTGGGCCAGTGCCCTGTTCCTTCTGTGCCACCAACCCAGTCTCTCCCCACCCTGTTTCTCCCTCCACCCATTGATATTTTTGTTTAATAAAGATTTTTATGATTTTGAAGGCAATCCCTTTTTATTTACCCTCATATAGATAAAGGGGCTGCAAAATGTTTGTGGAGAAATTCTGTTATCTCTAATTCCACTTTTATATGAACCCCCTTGATGCCCCCTTTGTGTGTGTGTGTGTGTGTGTACAGATACATAGATATGCAGTCATACACACATTTATATTTATATGTGTACACACGTATATAAATATCGCCTAGAGAGTCCCTCGATGAAGCAAATGACGTTAACCAAATGATTGAGGTTTTGGTTCACCTAGAGACAGACACCTCAAAAGAAAGGCCCGCTTCTGAAAGATGCCCCCTCAGAAACCCAACAGAACACACTCCTCTTCAGATGCAGATGGAGTGACCATAAGTCAGAAGCAACTGGATAGCAACCCATCGATTATACACACAAGTATAACATATATGTACCTTCATATGTTGAACATAAAAAGTAGTGGAACTGATGATCACAGAACCACTTCTTTGTTTCCAATTTTCCAAATATAAAATGCAAATGAATAGAGATACTTATTGATCCTAGTGGAGATACTATATGGATTGATTCGCAGCAAAATACAGTAGGCACTGATGGTAGATCTCTTGTGGTCCAAGGCATTATTTTGTTTTAACTAGAATTTGACTTTTTAATCACATTTAAAGACAATTTTTGAATTTGAGATGGAGAGCTTTTGTGACACATGGAAGTTTCTTAAGTGATCTAGTTCATACTTAATTGTGGGTTGGTGTTTGGTGAATGAATGAAAGGAGAATAAATGCATGGATGAATGAATGAACAAACAGATAGATTTTGGGTAGAGTTCTGACCTGGTGGAATAGATTGTTAAAAAAAAAAGCAACTGATTGTCATCTTCGTATTTGAGTTATATAGAAATATCTGCCCCGTTTTCCTCCAGTTTACTCTCTCAACAAACTGGAAAAGATTTGGGATGGTATTTGTTGAGATTTAACGGAAACACAGAAGCAATCAAGTGGTTGAATTTTTAAATTGAATGGCCTTCCATTATCCATATTGATTTGTGCTTTGGTAAATTAAATTCTTGATACCACCTGGTTAATTTTAAGTCTTTCTGAAGCTTTAGAAAAATGTTTCCAACATAACTCAAGCAGCATAAGAATTTCATCCATTGAAAACTAAGAAACATTTCTGTGGGCTGTGTAAAACAAGAAGCTGACCCGCATTATGTTCTTTCTCTCTTTTTCACTTCAGTATCATTATTGAGAGTTGCTCTTGAGTTTTATGAAAACCAGATTGGAGCATGATGTATGTTCTCCATCCAGTCATGTTCATGGCATTGAGACTGAAAATCATTCAAACTAAAAAAACATGACTACAAAATACAGCGTCTATTCCTTAGAGCAGCTGAGAACTGTTTCTTACCAGGGAAACCTTAAGCTGATAGTAAATCTGATTTGTTTGTTTCCTTTTAGAAATGGAAGCTTAGCTTACCCGTCAGAAAGAGAACATATGTATTTCTCCGATTACTTTTCTATTTTGCAACTTTATCATTTTCAGCCTTTATTCTCTCACGTGTTTGTTTAGAGAGCTGTGATTTCTCACTGTTGCCCACAGGGAGTGAAAAATCAAACTGTTATGAATGTCATTCAAGACCTTCTCTTGTCTAACCCAGGCTGCCTCCTCAGACACATGTCCTTTCCCCCACTTCTCTCAGGCAGGCTCCTGTTCAGCCAAACCCCACTACGGGCCATTTGGTTTCTGTGTTCTGTGTTCCCATTGTCCTGCTTCTCAGGAATCCCTGCTTGTTCTTGCTTTCACTTGGCGGATGTTCCGCATACAGCTCAAGGCATAATAAATCGAGTGAGGCCTTTCTAACTATCCCACCGCGTCACCTCCCCTCTCCCTCCTCCCTGCATGACATGCACATACCTGCACACACATGGATACATACAAGTGTGCTCCCATGATTTAGTCACGACATGCACCACACCCAGTACTACTACCTGGCTCTGTGGGTGGTGTCCTGCACGGAAATGCCTCACCCAGGGGACCAATGAAAACGAAGTTCTGTTTCCTCTCCACCTGTCCAGGTTGTGCACCTACTCACAGGACCGATCTGTGAGGGTGACACCATTTTCACACAGAGGCGCCATGTGAGCTAGCAGCAGCTCTCTTCAGCCTGGTCACATGTCTTGCATTCCCCTCCTAGGGTCACTGTGAGTCAGCATGAACTCAGTGGCAGTGACCTGGGTCTGGTTGGGGTTAGTAGGGCGTAAACTTGTTGAGGACAGTGACCAGGCTTACATTGCCACCAGGTCTGGAACAATCCCTTCTTGAGTACCAGTGAATATTCAGTGGTTGCCAAATGGAATGGAATTGAAGGAAGATATATTTATTTCTTACATTACTTTAGCTTCTAGATACAAATATGCAGAATACTGCAAACATCCAAATGTGCTTCTTAATGGATGGATTCTAAGTGCATCGTGTTTCTGCCTCAGCTAAACATTGCCCTCCACAATGGAGTGCCCAGTAGTCTTTTGTGGCATTTCAGAAACCACATGTGTGATACTATGACGGACTATGGCAGAGTTGGACTGAAATCCATTTCTGACTACTTGTTAAAAATAAGCAAAGGATAACATTCAGAATCATCTGAAGTGGGCAGGGTGAAGGTCAGGGAGAATGCCTCTGGGAGGTGTGGAACCTTGGGAGGAACCAGTTGGCTCAGTCTGAGGTCAGGGCACTTCCTAGAAGTCTACATTAAGCCCAACAAAAAAACAGTGCTTGGTCTCCAAATCCTCAAAGCTAAAGTTCCTCTGGCCTTGCCAGCATGTACATCATATAACTTGATGCGCTCATGCCCTCAACATCAAGCCTCCGTTTGTAGAGACTTCAGTAGAGAATTGATATTAGCTTGGTTGCATTTCTACTGATGAGTGGGAAATGCCCATAAATCAGGCTGTACAGACCACAGAACAATGATGTACGTAGCACGGGTTTTATGCCTATTTGATGACATGGCCAAGACTTCAAATTCCATGTCCCCAGGGAAACCATTGGCCAATCTCTTGTCCTTATATCTGTATACAAATACTGGTGGGATGATTAACTATACCCTTCATTCTAGTTTGAAGCTGCCTCAGGATGTGTTGAATTTAAGAGATGCACAGCTCTCTTAAATACAAGATACAAGAGCTCGGAGAATGATTCGATGGTGCTCAGAAACTCCCTCTCTCTTCTTCCTTCTTTCCCTCAGTCCTCGGTGATGTCTGTCTGCTTCGCCCGCTTTCATCCAAACTTGGTGGTTGGTGGGACTTACTCCGGCCAGATTGTCCTGTGGGACAATCGTAGTCATCGGAGGACACCGGTGCAGCGCACACCTTTGTCAGCTGCTGCCCACACGGTAAGTGGGATCGTTGCCAAGTCTCTGCCAGGGGGGGTGGGGGGTGGGGTCCCAAGTCCCAAGTGTAGACATAGCTTAACTCAAAAAAGTATGGATTTTGCCAGTGGCTCCAAATTACAAATTACCCCCCCCAAAAAAGCAAACATTTCTGCCAAGTTGATTCTGACTTACAGAGACCCTGAGGGACAGAGTGGAACTACTCCCTCGGGGTTTCCAAGTTTTACTATTTACAGAAGTAGACCACCACATCTTTCACTGTAGAGCATTTGGGGGCTCAAACGCCAGGCCTTTCAGTTCGCAGCCCAGGACTTAATCACATGCCACCAGCATTCCTAGCTCCAAGTTAGAAGTGTCGATTCTATGGGGATTTTATTCTGACTGATTAAAATAAAGCTGAGACAAAACAGGTATAGGAACTGCTGGACTTTGAGAAATCTCTTAATAGTTTACAATGTTTAATGTGTAGAAAGTTCTGTTTAGATGACCCAAAGGCCACTGTATATTAAAAATATAGAAGGATGGAGACACATTAGCCATTGGGAAGAGGCATATGTGGAATTATTTCCCTAAAGAACCCCTTCACATGTGCTTTATTAGCTGCAAAGCTATAGTTTCAGGTAGACCATCTAGAAGAGCCAGCATTTCATGTCTAGAGATTTTATAAGACTTCTATGATTGGTGATTCGAAAGAGTACTGTGACTTTAAATGCTGGAATGTGTGGCTTAAGTCTCAATGGAAAGTCTACTGTGACAATATAATCTATAGGGTTAAAAGTCAACATCTCCAAACCATTACTTATAATTTAGTGGGAGAGGTTGAGGATAGTGTGCATAGGACAACTACACTGTCATTTCCTTTAAGAGAATGATAGGTGTATATGGCAATTGTTAGAAGAAACAAGAAGACAAGCGTGTCTCCAGCAATCTTTGCTACCTTGACATACAGGGTAACTGATATTCTCTCTCTGAAATGCCAAATGATGCCCATGGATACAGCTCTACCATTGTTTCTAGTTTCCTTAATGTGGTTTCTGCATGTTTCATCTATAGACCTCAAAACCATTCTGCCTTGAAAAATGATTGCTAGTTGCCTTCGCTAACACCATGAGGAGGCAAACCCTTCCACTCTTGTAAGATTGACAATAGGAAATGACAAATACCAAGTCAACCCTAATTCTGATTGACTTGGGCTGCAGAAACCTGCAGGTGGAACTAGTTCTTGGGAATCTTAGAAAATTGCTCTTGCATACCCCATTTCTCCAAACTAATAACAGAAAATTGCACCCCTGGAGAAGGAGGATTTGATTCAGGTGTTTGCTCAAATAGTGTCAAACTACTTCTGGGCTCGATGTAGATGTCTGATATGCTTAGCTGAGCATGCCTCAGAAACCTCAGATACACAGATATCGATATGTAAGTATATGGACGTGGGTACATCTCTCTCTATACTAGATCACTTAGCAGTGACTCTTGAGGAAGAAGCCAAATCCTAGAGCTTCCTTTTTTTTTTATTAGCTTTAAGTATAATCATCACAACTAACGTCCTATTCTAATCAAACTGAGTAACATTATTTGTTAGTAAATACTTGGGAACACAGCCCCACCCCACCCCACTGTGCTATGTTTAGTCTAATCCACCGCTAAAAATGTAGCACCCCCTTTTTGATGGTCTTGCAGCATCCACTGTTGCTTGGCTGATTGGTACCAGGATCCAAAAGGAAAATGAGGCCCACCGCAGATTACTAACTAATTTCCTTTCACACCCACCACACACATGCATTTGGGACAGCAGGAAATCATAATTAAAACAAAGTCCTCTGCCACACAGTAAGTTTATTTCTGAAATAAATAAAAAACAGCCTGGCATCTATGCTGGAAAATGAGATGTGCTGTTGCTGTTTTCTTTCTTTCAAATAGCGTGTGTGTGTGTGTGTGTGTGTGTGTGTGTGTGTGTGTGTGTGTATGTATGAGTATACAGAGAGGTTTCAAAAAGTGCATGGAAGATGGAGTGTAAAGATAATGGAATGTTCTGTGAACAAGTCCCCCTTGTACCAACCAAAGTGCCTGCTTCTGTTCCTCTGGTTTCTTTACATCTCTCTTCTTTTAAACCAACTTTTATTACTCATAAAAGTACAGGCCTGTGGCACTGATTAAAGCCAGGGCGGAGGAAATGCACACAGTCCTTCTTTAAGCATTTAGCTCTATACATTTCTCTAGACCTGCCTTTTTTCCCTGTTACGCCCTTAGGGATCCAAATCCATTAAGATTTTCGTGGTTTATGTTTAAGGTTCACAGAAAAAGCCCCATTGAACTCTTGCTGGGAAAACTAGGTAGGTTTGGGGATCGTGATAATATATGAACCCTGCTTTCCCCTTCTTTAGTTACTAAACTTGCTATCTTTAGGTGGGAAATTGTTTCAGGCATGCTTCTATTTGATTTTTACTTCAGGACTTGAGCTCACATACTATTTCAGGTTGCACATACACCAGAGCTTGGATAAGAATGCTGTCTGTAGTTCCCAGCAAATCGGTCTGTTTGACATACGGAGACATCCTTAGAAGAACATTTTCAGATCTCTGCTTCCTTTGCTACTGTGCAGGCCCACTGATGCTGAGCCATTGGGAAGTTCCCACAGAAACATGCTGGGGAAAGATGCCAGGGCTTAGCTGACCGTCTGTCAGCATGGATGAAAAAACGGATGTACTTGCCAATGAACGAATATTGTCTTAGACTGAATTAATAGAGGCATCTTTTCTTATACATGAGAAGTGACCCTTCAGGGCTACCCAGATTTCTACATTTTTCTCATTAGAAAATTAGTAGAAGATTGTATGTCATGCCCAGAACTTTAAAAGAAATGGAGACAAAGCAGAGTGCATTCAAAAGAGATTGATCAGAATGTGGAATGTATTGAAAGCCAAAGCACCCAATGACTAGTTGAAAAAACAGGCAATGGTTCATTTCCACAAGACAAGACTCAGGGGCAATATAAAAAAATCTATAGACATTCAAAACTCTCTTGTTTGGACTTGATCCTAGTGGGTAATAAACTCAAAGTACTTGCTTGAACTTTCTTGATCTCTGCTGGGTAAAAGAATAACTATAAATGAATACTAAAATGGGTCATCCTTAAAAAAAGGTGTTTAAGTGGAATTTGGACCCACTTTTTGGTAGAGGCAGATGATTAGCTGCGTTATATGATTATTAGGGTTCTTTCTGACCAGAAGTTTATGGCTTAATAATAGTTTGATAACCAACCTTCATAAAGTATCAACTTTCCAATATTAAAGGTTGTTTCTTTGTCGCTGTGGCGAGGTATGATGGACAGTTACTCATCAGACATAAGACTTGGACTCTCGGCTATTTGCACAGAGAAGCGTCAAGTCAGTTGTGGTTTGGCCACTGATGGCTAAGCGGCCTGAAATCTAACCCTAATTACTGCTAGGTTCTGCTTATGCTAACCTTTCATTTAGTATTTAATGTGCAGCTGCACATGATTTTAGCATATCATGTAGGATTCTGCCTAGTGGGATTACCTACTTAGAGTTCTGACAGAAGGTTAGAGCATCTTGCTTACAGTTCCTGGGATATAAAAATGACCTTTCTCGAAGCTCTGGCCAAATGTAAGCCTCAATAAATAATATTTTGAAAAGCAAATCTACCCTAAGTTTTGCAATAACATAGAAGACCCCAATTTGGGCCTCACGAGGTTGGTTGTGCCAATTTCATTGTGCGTAAATCAAAGAGCCTGACGGATTCTCATCTCTTTTTTAATTTAAAGAATCCTAATCAATGTTTGGCACTGTGACTGTGGTGCCTTTAGCCCTGACGTGAGCAACACCTCTTCCATAGTACTCTCCTTTTGAAGACTCCTTTCCCAGTCAGTCATATTGAGCTCAGAAGCCTAAGTGTGTGGTGACAACTCACTCAAGTCATCTGCATGCACCTCTCAGGGCTGCTCATGCCCCTCATGCCCATTTGCTCTGGTTCTTGCTTGAAGTTCCATTGCTTTGCATCTGGCTGAGCAAGAGGAAGTGCTGTAAGCATTTCCATCACTGTGTGGTGCTGCGAGAGCTTTTAGAAAGAAAACAGGTTCATGTCAAAAGTGTCAATGGACCCCAGGCTTGTGTTATTGTCGCCAAAGGTGTTTGACACTCACGTGTAAGCATTTCCTCTTGGACCCGTGCCTGACCTTTCATGTTTATGTTTTCACAGCATCCTGTATACTGTGTGAATGTTGTTGGGACCCAGAATGCTCATAACCTCATCACTGTCTCTACCGATGGCAAAATGTGCTCCTGGAGCCTGGACATGCTCTCCACTCCCCAGGTGGGTTTGTTTCCCCGTCCATCGGGCGCATCCTGATTACAAGAAATACCTGCCTGCTGGCACGTAGTTCCTAAAAGCCGCACATCCTATGGGAGCTAAAACCAGTGGATGCACTTGAAAGAGTGGGGCCTTCTTTCAGCAGTCGCCTCTGGAAGCCAAAACCCATTTCCTTTACCACAAATCATGTAATTAGTGTAATGCGTTAATGCTTAGGTCAGTTTCAAGTGAAAATGAAATAATCCATTTGAAAGCATAGTGATTATGGCAGTTGCCTGTGGTATGAATTGTACTGCTTTGTTAAACAAATGCACACGAGGTTGGGGCTGAGCAGAGCAGTCCCTCACCCATCCTTGCCCTGGGGGAAAGGTACCTGGGCCAAGGAGACATCCAGGCCGGGCTTGCATCTGTAGCCGGGACAGCAGGCGGCGGTGTGCGTGAAGCCCTGGTCAAACCATCGGGTCTTCCCACTAGTCGGTTCCTGCCACTCCTCCCTCAACAAATGAGAAGTCAAAAATGAAAAAGTTCCCAAGTTTCCAAACCACGACTGATTACAGTAATTGAAATCAAACAAAGGGGTAGACATGGAGGAAACCTTTGGAGAGGCATCTTAAATCCCAACCACATTACACGTGTGTACCCGTATGCACACAGAGACCAGCACACACACACACGGGTACACAGTTTTCCCCAGTTCTTTTGGGGGCAGGGACGGGAGAGGACGCGGACCTCCAACTGCGGCTGTGGCCTTGGGAAAAACAGAGTCATTTTAAAGAGCATTGCAAAAGAAACGTTAAAACGTTTTAATTTTGCCTGCCTATTCCTTTTCCTCGATGAATGACATATTTTCACAGTTTTAGGAGACATTACAGCTTCCAAACACATTAGGAAACATGTAAACTATAAAAAACATCTTTCTTAAGCCTTCACAGAAGGATTCTTAACTGAAGAGAGAGAGAGAGAGAGCAGTAACCAATAAGCTGCTGACAATTTACATTTCTCGGTTGTTAACAATGGAATATTGCCACACTTGTGTTCTCGGTGAGGGTGTCTATAGCGGCTCGGAGGCCCGTTCCCCAGTTCTCCACGTGCTCTTTCGCACACGGCGGCGCAAACGGGGCATTCTCATCACGCTCCTCCATCCGTCTGTCCGTCCGGCTGCTCCTCACAGGCCCTGGCTGTGCTGGTCTTTACCATGGGCCAGGCCCAGGGGTGGCTGGGGGTCTTTTATGGCCTTGTCCACATTCTCAGCAATGTGTTGCTTCCTTTTAAAAGCCTGGGGATGATAAACAGACCTAAGAGAGAGCCCTCTATGTACCGATGTTTAATTGCCCATTCTGCTGACTAAACATGCATTTATTTAGGTTAAAACCAGTCCCACAGGAGCTACCGGCACATTTTTATGAGCCTTTTCCATGCCCACAGATGCCCGTTACGAACGGAGTTAGAGAGCCCCATGGCATGGCTTCTGTCGAGGGCAGAGAGGAGGAGGGGCATCTGGCAGTTGCCCTGGGCCCCTTTTCCCAAGAGGGAGAGCAAAAGACTTTCCAAAACACGGCAGAGAATTTAAAGCAGGCACCCAAACAGATGCCTGTACACCAGTCTCCACTGCCACATGATTGCCAATCTGCAGACAGATGGGTGAACAAGATGTTATATATATATAAATAAAATAGGATTTTATTCAGTCATAAGCCCTGATACCTGCTGCAACATGGATAAACCTTGAAAACATCATGTTGTGTGAAATCTCAAACACAAAAAGGCAAGTTATTTGCACTAGAATACTCAAACCCATAGAGAAACCAAGCACCTCAGTGATTACTGGGGGTTCAGGGAATAGGGGAATTATTGCTTAAGGGCATTATAATTTTATTATAATTTTGTTTGGGGTGATGAGAAACTTGTTGGAACTAGAGCGTGGAGCTGTTTGTAGCACATGGTAAATGTAATTGGTATTTTTGACTTGTACGCATACTCAAAATCAAGTAAAACTCACTGCTATTAAGTCCGTTCTGATTCATAGAACTGTTTGCATAAGGGTGATTGACGTGGTGACCTTTTTGTTGGATGTTTTACTGCAATGAAATTTAAGAGATACGATGTAGGCATACTTTCAGTGATGGAGACTAGTGCATGTCCCAGTTTCCTATGCTCTATTGTCATCCCAGCCCTTTCTTTAGTGCTGACACTGATATGGTCACTACTTGGCGTCTGACTTGCTGCCAACAGCCTGTCACGTGACTGACCATGTTGTCTGTACTGCAAGGGGCTTTCAATTTATTGACTTTTCGGCTAGAGGACTGGCTTAATTATTTGTACAAGAAAGGCTGAACTATAATCATATGGTATCCCAGAATGATATCTTTAATTATTTTAGATGCCCAAGATAGGCCATTTTATCTAAGTAGCCAAAAATGCTCAAAGTCATTAGTCATGCTTAAATACTCTTTAACCTAATACAGCGGTATGCCTTTGAAAACATACCCGAGTTCCCAATGTAAGAACTGATTTCATAGTAAACACCCTCATTCTAAATTAAAGACATGTTTAAGCACAGCTCTTCGCAGGTTCATCGGCCATACTGCCAATGACTGCCCTTCGTGAAACTGGGGCCCAGTTGACATCTGTCCTCTATGATCTGAGTGGCAACTTTCTGGTTTTAGTCCACAGAGGACCCACTGCTGCTTTGAGAAATGTGCTTACTACATCTGATATTAAAACATGTGCATTCTCATGAACGATTGGTTTGGAAAATGTTTGTAAATACAGGGGTATTGTGTGTTTTATTAAAGCCTGGGGCTGACAAGTGTAACCATTACAGCATTATCTTTAGTTTCTGCACCATTAGTTTCAAAATTCTCACCTGTCATCTCGGCCCGACTGACGAAGCAGCAGCACACGCTGATGAAATCCAGCCGGCCTGAAACCAGAGATACACAGAAGCATGAATGTCAGGGCAGTAACGCGTGGTTGCTGGCACAGCCGGGGTCTTTTGTAACGCTGTGTGAAAAGCAAACAGACGATTTGGCCAAATGAGTTTTCCATGCTATCTTTGGCATGGCAAGGAGTTGACAGATGGAAATGTAACCAGGTCGTGTTTTGGTAGGAGAGCATGGAGCTGGTGTACAATAAGTCCAAGCCTGTGGCTGTTACCGGAATGGCTTTCCCAACAGGAGATGTCAATAACTTCGTGGTGGGCAGCGAGGAGGGCACAGTCTACACGGCTTGTCGTCATGGAAGGTGATGTTCTGTTTTCTTACTTTTGACATGTTGCTTGTTTGGGGACGTCTGTTATCACTTTCTGCAGAGTAACCACCTTTCGTTCTGAGAAGGGCATTTCGGAGGAAATGCAAAGCCCAGCTTGAGTCTTCCTTGCCTGAAGCATGCCTCTGCCTGGCACGTTTTTATTTCATCTCTCCTTTCCAGTTACCATCGGGTCAGCTTCGACTCCTGGCATCCCATGGTGTCAGTAGAGAGAGCTGAGCCCCAACAGGTTTTCAGTTCCTTCCTTTTTCCACCAGTAGATCACAAGGGCTTTCAGCTGAGGCACCTCTGGGAACTTAAAATGGTATTAGCAGCCAAGTAATTGACCATTTCTACCACCGAGCTCACTCTTAGCATTGGAAACGCCAACTCAAGGGGACCCTGTAGAAGACAGACTGGAAGCACCTTGTGGTTCTTTCTCTCTCTCTGCCATTGAGTTGGTGCTGACTCATAGAGACCCTATAGGACAGGGTAGAACTGCCCTTGTGAGTTTCCAGAAACCATAACTGTTTAGGGCAGTGGAAAGCCTTTTATCTCTACAAGGAGTAACTGGTCATTTCAGATGACACACCTTGCGGGTCACAGCCCAACATGTAACCACTGTGCTACCAGGGCGCCTTTTACCCCTTTAAGCAGAGACTCATCTTTCTCCCATCAAGCACTTGTTGGGTTCAAACTGCTGGCTTTGTGGGTAGCAACCCAACTTGTAGCCTCCTCTGGTTACCCATTTGCAAATCTTTGATGGTTCACATTGCCTCCAGGAAAACTTTCCAAGCTTCTCAGCACATTGCCGACCCTGATTCTCTGGCCTCTCTCAACCTCCTCTCCTTCGGGCTCCAGCACATACCCATCAGGGATAGCAGTCCCCAGACATTGCTTATCCAGCCTCATCTCTCTCTTTCCTCTCACAAGCTAGCCTTTCTGCCGTGTAGGTTCGCATCCTCCTGGCACAGAGGCTCTGCACTTGAAGGCCTTTCCTGATCTCTGGGGATGGGAGAGGAGACAAAGACACAACTTTCTTCTTTATGGCCACATCGAAGGTTCACTCCTCCTAATCATTCAAAGCAGATTCGTGAAGAGCCTGCCTAGATCCTTGAGGTTATGACAGGAGAGGGTGGAGGAAAATGAGATGCTAATAATAATGGCTACAAGAATGGAGGAAATGATCTAAAATTTGACTGTTGTGATGATCACACAACTCTTTCTTAATATATTGAAATCATTAAATTGCATCATAAAGGATTATAAAAAGAACCTGTCAGGTGTTAGACACCATCGGAAGGATCTAGAAAGCAGCAAGACAGACATGAATGAGATGAAAATTAAAAGCTCCACGCCCCGGTCTAGTTGAAGGGGAGTCCCGGAAGAGTAGTGGCTACTAGAGGAGGAAGGACAGGGCTTTCTGTCCCCTTTAAAAAAAAATTAAAAAAAGCAGAGTCTTGGAAGCTTGCAGCGGCAGTTCTGCCTTATCCTATGGGGTCATTATGAACTGGCATCAGCTGGCTGACAGTGAGCTGGGGTTTTGGTTTAATTCCAGTTGGGGAAACTCAGTGGCATAGTGATTATACATTGGGCTGCTAACTACAAACAACAAAGTCAGCAGTTCAAGACTAGCAGCAGCTTTGTGGGAGAAAGATGAGGCTTTCTACTCATGGAGAGTTACAGACTAGAGAACCCAGCCTAACACAGGCACCATCGTTTAAATGAGGAACAGAATAGCCATGCCATCTGGTAGCTGGATATGAACTGAGGTGGCAAGATGTGGATGAATTACATGAATGCCAAACGGACAAGTGAACACTGTGTTTTCTAAAGCTAAATGGAAGTTTACAACTCAGGAGAATAAGTATGCATTTGGGAGTGAACTGTGTTTCCTAGAAATATATATTAACTTGACTAAGTGCTGATATTAAGTGGTTTGGATGTTACGTATTGATATAAATTTGTTAGTTTTATAATCATACAATCATCCCTCTGGTGTGATCTGATATGAGCAGTCAGTCAGTTGTATAAGGATTAGAATGGGTTACAACACCCTTCATCAGGTCACAGGCCTGATTGGATGAAAGGGGAGTTCCCCTGCAGTGTGGTCTGCTTCACTTTTGATTTATTTTATAATGGTGAGAAGAAAGTAGAAAAGGAGGAATCCTCCTGTTATCAAGAAAGAAAAAACAGAAATGGAGTTTGCCCTTTAGACCTGGGGTCCTTGTACCAAGAAGCTCCTAGATCAAAGGGAAGTTGATCGACATAGACCATCCCCTAGAACCAACATACAGATAAAGACACACACACACACACCCCTGATTTGGTGATCTGAACCCACATGGGATTGCAGCCTTGGGCTCCCACATAGAATCACTATGAGTTGGAATCGACTCGATAGCATTGAGCTTGGGTTTGGGGTTATTCTAGTTGGGGATGAATGATAATAAATGAATGAAAAAAAAAATAAAATAAAATAATGAATGAAACAAGTAAATATTTAGTTTAAATGACGGTGCATGCTGTGGAGAAAACTGAAGTAGGAGAAGGCAGACAGGACTGTGTAGGCTCAGTTAGGTTTGCTACTTTCTAATTTTTGAAGTGGATGTTTCTGTCATTTGTCTCATTAAATTATTTTCACTTTGTCTTTCATTCCATGTCCAGCAGTGTCTGGCATATAAGTGAAGAGCAAAAATATGCATTTAGGAAATACAGAAACGACTATATCCACATAATACAGAGACCTGTCTTAAGGCCCCTCTGCCTAGTCAGGGGAATTGGAGCAGTATGAGACGTATGAGGGAGCTCTAAAAAGTTTGTGGGAAAAATGGAATGAAAAGATAATGCAACTTTTCCACAAACTTTTTAAAACCCCTTCATCTAAGCCACCATGCAGTTTCCAGGTGATACAAGCTCTTGAGTTGCTTGAGAGATTAGCAAGTGGCCTCAGCAAACAGAGCCAGTCATTTGCAAGAGATCATGAAATGGCAAAGCCAGAGGCTACAGGTGGCTTCAGTCTTCGGAAAGATTCTCTGTGCTTAGCCTGTGGAAGGTCTCTTTCACCTCAGTAGCTCAGGTGCACCTGGTATTTTGTGCCTTTCTTCCACTTATCCCAGACAATGGACTAGTCTCAGTCAGGAACCACAACTTATTCCAAGTTCATAGCCCTGTGTCTCACAGGTCCATGCCCAAATACTCCGTCTTCATAAAAACTCACTAAAACCACACACAAGCGTTCTCAAACCATAAAAAAGATTGATAATATTGTTTGTTCATCCAAATACTTGCTGCATACCCACTTTGAGGAATTTGCTGAACACCCACATCGCTAGATGCTGTGAGGCATCTGAGCGTCATTCAGGATGTCTGCTGCCATCAAAAAGTTGATGGTGTAATTCCATGTGATCAGAAGTCAAGGAGGGATTACAATTAATCAGAGCCTAAATTGTGAGCACCCAGAGTGCAGAAGTCAATGGATGGCAATGAGAGTTCCAGATTTCTTTGTGAAACCACGTAAGAAATAAGCCCCCAGAGAACTTCCCGATCTGAAATTGAGGGACGGGAGGAAAGTGGTCACTAAGCAGAGTGCTAGGGATAGAGGAGTGTAGAAGGTCAAAGGCAGAAATCTGACCTGAACGGTTAAAACTTTGTCAGTAGATCCCCCTATGATACAGGCAGGACCTCATATGGTTTCCAAGATGTTCCATATTTTGGGTTTGTATTGTTTTGGGTTTGCATTGTTTTGATTTTTGTTTGTTCATATCAGGGTGTATCTCAGAGGTGTTATGTCATTGGAGGTCACCCTCTTGTAGTTGTGAACACCAGGATTGAGGCACTATCAGGACAGAACGTAGAATCAGGGTTTCCGGGAGACAGGCGTACAGGGATACAGTGGTGTTGAGGGGGCAAAAAGGAGAGAGTGTTAAGGAGTCTATGTAGAAAAAGAATTTTGGAAACTGATTGTGGTAGCAATTATACAGTTCTACTTGGCATGACTGAACTATGGAATTATATGATATGTTCATTACATCCAAGTTCATAATAAATTTTTTAAAAAAGAAATTGATGGTAGCTGAGAAGGTAAATGTACAGAGATTCGTAGGGCCGGTAGAAGGTTATAATTGGTACGAGGAACATGCAGAGGGCATAATGGGAAAACATGAAGTCACAGGTTTATCTCCATATTCACTAGACGCAGCAGGGCAGAGGTTTAAGTAAGTGAATCCAGGGGACTGCCTAGGAACTTAATGATCGCTCAAGGCTATAGAGCATGTTCATGGATTTTTCTCTTGGTATTTTTTTGTTGTCAGTTTCTCTAATGTGAATGTCCATCTAGTGCAGCAGTTCTCAACCTGTGGGTCACGACCCCTTTGGGGGTCAAATGATCCTTTCACAGAGGTCGCCCAATTCATAACAGTAGCAAATTACAGTTATGAAGTAACAATGAAAATAATTTTATGGTTTGGGGGTCACTACAATATGAGGAACTGTATTAGAGGGTCACGGCATGACGACGGTTGAGAACCGCTGATCAGGTGCATAAATTGTATGTCTTGTTCTTTACAAGCACAATCAGAATATGCCCTTTGGGTCCAAAAGAAGCGTGTCCTGACAAGTCCCACAGATAACTTGGCGTGGCCTTGATTTTGATTTTGGCATCGGTTCATCCAGCTGAAATATGCAGATCTTAGTAGAGTCATAAAGTAGCACAGATTTGGTCTCTAGCCATTTAAAATGAATTATCAGGCTAGAGGGCAGAGAGTAGAATTTCTTCTTTCCACCTAGCATGGCGAAGGTGCAAATACACTTCCATAAACTCAATGAGGTCCTTCTTTTTGCACCCTGTCAACCCTCTCAGGATACTGTTACGGGAAAGTGGACTCTTGCCAGGGGCCACTTCAAAGACAGTTCCCCGTGTGCGTTAGAATAAATCGCAGTGGTCACATGTAGAACTGCCCCTAGCAGTTGCACTGGGCTTAATTGTTGAGTGGCTTTTATACGGGATATATGCTGTAGCACTTTACACATAATTTCAAATGTTGCTCAGCACATTTGACATTTATTGGGGCTCTGGAAATCCAAATGCTTGAATAACTTAATTCCTCTTTGCTCCTAATGACATAATATTTACACAATCCCAGTGTATTTGTCATATTTATAAATGGATGTACATCATTTTATAAAATATAACATTTTGGGTATAGTTTATAAGATTTTTCTAACTGCATATGACTGCGTATAGACTATTATGTGATGCTCGTGAACTGGAAGCAATCCCAGCTTGGTTAAATAAGTTACTGGTGCCTGTGGGTGCCTTTTAGGGTGTGTATTACTCTCAAATGTGATTTTGTTTTAAGGCATGCGTGTTTCTTGTCCTTTGTTATTTTATTTAACAAATATTTAGCAAGTGACTTATAAGCATGTGGTCACCAAGGTAAGGTGCCTGCCTTTGTGGAATTTATATGTAGTGAATCTGTACCTCTCTCTTCTGTTTTCCATAAAGAGAACAGAACATTTTTCTCATTATTTTGAAGTTGCGCATATTATTTGGTTACAAAGTTACAAAGCTTTCAACAAAAATTGTGTTCTCAGGTATGTCAGCTTAATTTAAGAATTTCATTTAAAAGAATAAAAGACGATTCTGTCAAGGACGTGTGGAGTTTTATAGCCAATAGACTTTCCAAGTCAAGTTAAAATGGAGCATGTACAAAATATCAGAAATAGGATTTATCAATATGGGAGCATCTGAGAACTAGGTGCTTGTGTTTTCCATCAAAATAGCTGCCTCCACGATGACAGGACTTGAGGGATTCTGAAGAAAGATAAAATTTGGTACTAAACGCTGATGATTATTAGTATATCTGACATGGAAATGCAAAATCTCAGCAGGGGCATTTGTCTTAATTATGTAGTGTTGTTATCACAGAAATACTACAAGTGGATGACTTTAGCGAAAAGAAATTCATTCCCTTACAGTTTAAAAGACAAGTCTAAATTGAGGGGGCTCTGCAGAGGGAAAGCCTTCTGTTGGATCTGGAGGAAGGTTTCTGTCTCGTTTCAACATCTGGGGGCCCAGCATGCCTTGGACGTCTCTACGAGCCTTGGCTTCAATCATCTCCAAGGTCTAGGAGGTTCTCAGCACAGGGACCCCAGGTCCAAGGGACATGGTCTGCTCCTGGCTCGTCTTTCTTAGTGTTACTGAGGCCCCTCTTTCTCTGCTGGCTCCTCTGCTTTTACCTCTTACAGGGTGGTGAAGGGTAGTCACTCAGGATATACCCCACCCTGATCCTACCCCATGAACATAACAATCGTAATCTTTCCTTCTTTTCATGACCGAATCCTACCTTGTTTACATCACGGTCAACGCTCCCTGGTGAGACCATAACGAGAGGCATAAAGACTAGGATTTACAATCCATCATTACATGGAGGAGAATAAGATCTCACAGTGGAGGACAACCACATAATACTGGGAAACATTATTTCCCAGTGTTAAACAGCTAGCCAAGTTGACACATACCGTTCAATCCATGACAGGGACAAACTAGAATGAACCAGTTTGAAACCCCGCATTTCTGCTGTTGTTGATTCTTATGAATTATGGAAAAATAATCATGCAGAGATGAGTTTTTGTTTGTTGTTTAAAGCAATCACTGTTTTGCAAGGTCAATGAAATATTACTGAAATTCTGCTCTTCTGTGATCTTTGTGCAGCAAAGCAGGTATTGGTGAAGTCTTCGAAGGTCACCAAGGACCAGTGACGGGAATTAACTGCCACATGGCAGTGGGCCCAATCGACTTTTCACACCTGTTTGTCACATCATCATTTGACTGGACGGTTAAACTGTGGACCACAAAGGTAAGAACACTTGGGTTAAAATACTCAGGTATTAGATGGGGGAAAAGGATGCTTTTCATTCTCTGGAGATGCCTGTAGGCGGTAGCTACACCTGAGTCCTCTTCCAGGTGAGCTGACACTGGGAACTCATACAACCTATTGTTGAATCTGACCTGCCCCAGAGCTGATGTAGGCCTTACTTAGTTTACTTAACTTTAAATATTAAAAAGGTGATACTTGAAAACATTATAATGATGTATTAAATGTTTAAGATCAAATAGTAGTAAAGCTGAAGACCTCTTCCACCAATATTTCACCAACACTAACCTCCTCTCCACAGCTCATTGCCCTGCCTGCTCTCCTAGTCTCCCCAGGGGTAACCTCTGCTATCGTTTTAGTGTTCCTCTTCCAGACCTTCGGAGCATTTGTAGTCATTCGTGTGCGTCTATGGAAATACAAATGATTTTGAAGGTTTCAAGTTGATAAGTGCCACTATAATATTATGTTTTATAAATGCCATTCTGAAGACAGTGAACTTAATTAGAATATAGTTAATGTTGAAATGTAATCATTTTAACATGGCAAATGTTTTGTTATGAGTATGTCTACTCCACAGTAAAATAAGGTTTTACAGAAGGTTATTCTGACCTTGGTTAGAAGCCAAAGGCAAAAGAAAGACCCCATAGAAGGAAGATGTAGTGTCAAAGGTGAGAAGTGACGGTGGTTTATACTAGCAGGATGGGGCTGAGAGTTATAGGTGGATTTGAGAACCACTTAAGAGGGAAAGCCACAGAAATTGGCAGTGGATTTGATATAAGGGAGGTGAGAGAGGGGCTAAGAGGACAGAACCTGGGTGTTTGACTAGGGCCACTGGTAATTGGTAGTCATAGTCCCTGCAGTGGAGAATGCCAGAGAATGGAGTGTCTGGGAAGAAGCTCTGCGCATGTTAATTACAGTGGCTGTGGGTCGTGAACTAGTCCTAGTGGGGCAGTGGTTAAGTATTCAGCGGGTGAATGACAGAAGCACTGCTGAAACCCACCAGCTGCTCCAGGGGAGAAAGACGTGGCAGCTGGCTTCCATGAGCATGACAGCCTTGGGAACCCAGTGGCACAGTTCCACTCTGTCCTCTGGGGTCACTGCGATTCAGAATCAACCTCACAGGAGTGGGTTTTGCTGGGGCACAATTCAAGATCTCCATTAAGCAATTTGAAATATGGGGCAGAAATACAAGAGAGAGCCCTGGGCTGGAGATACTGTCTTTAGTAGTGATCAGAGTAGCAATAATAACTTAAAACGGAGTCAAAGGAGCGGGTTTTCAAAGCAAACCTAAGACATAATCCAGAGGAAAGGGAAATACAAAGGGGGCATGTGTTTCAAAAGGAACGTCCTGAGGGGCAGGAGAAAAATTAGGATTTGATGTGGGATGTCATAGTCATCAATGGAGAAGCCTGGTCGGAGGGCGGAATGGACTTTTAACCATGTGAAAGAATAAACAGCCTCTCCTCAGAGAAAGTAAAATGAGAACTACATTTAAAAGCCTATTTTCGACTATCAGATGGGTAAGACTCCAGATGTTTGACAACATATTCTGTAACAAGGCTGGAGAGCAACCAGTCACTCTCGTGGGTTACTGGTGGAAATGCAAAATGACACAAGACGGTGACTAAAAATAACACGTGTATGTTTCCCACATGGAGGAGTGTAGGCCAGAGATACACCAGCAGAAATAACGAAAACTACTCGGGGAGTGCTGAGTTTCTCTTGGGGTGATGCGCGTGGCGGGGAGTTGATGGTGCTTATGATCGCACAGTCTGGTGAAAGCAATCGCTGTCTCGGAATTAGATCCTTAGATGGCTTAAATGCCAAGTGCTTTAGGACGGGTGTTTTAGAACAATAGCAGCGCAGGTAAAAGAATAAGAAAAGTCTCAGCACAGGATATTTGTTCTGAGACTGCCGGACCAGTGGAAGACTGGAAGGAATGCAAAGACCCATCACTGGGCACTGGGCAAGTAAAATAGGCCACCTCCACCCCAACACATACTCGCCAGATGTAGAGAGAATGGAGAAGGCTTCCACATATGCTTATGAATGATCGATGGGACGTGTCTAATGAGCAAAGGTCACTGCCATAGAGCCGACAGGACAGGATAGAATTGCCCCTGGGGGTGTCGAGGTTGTAAATCTTTACAGAGTAGAAGGCTTCATCTTCCTCCCACTGACCTTGAGGTTAGCAGCCTACACATAACCCCTGAGGTCACCGTGGCTCCTTTAAGCAAGGTAAAGAAGACCATACATAGTATACTGTCATTCTTTAGCATGAACGTATATATTTTTACAAGTTGGAAGGATAGCCATACACATACACCAAGATCACACAGAGGAGAAAGGAGAATTAGATATAAAAGCCAAATTTATTTGAGTACACCTTGTTTGAACATCTGATTTGGGAGCCATGTCTATATATACTTTATACATTTATGACATAAAGCAAAATAAAGCATACAATAAAAATTTAAGTAACATGAAATGAATCATTTTTATTGTGACTCATGGCAAAACCTCACATAGGAATGAGTTTAAATGCCTTTAGACTATTGTATTTTGGCTAAAGAGATATATTCTTATGAGAAAAAAACTACTAGAAAAGAATAACCTTAAGCAGCTTCTAGTACTCATATTGCTGGCATCCAGATTGTTATTATTATTCTGAGACTATTGTATATGTATCTCTATATGAATGACTTGATTGATTATGCGGGTGTCATTGAGAACTGAGATCATGAGTGTGTTAGACCAGGTTGAGAAGAGAAACAAATCCAAGGACACTCGTGTGTGTGTGTGTGTGTGTGTGTGTGTGTGTGTGTGTGTGTATGAGAGAGCTTTATCTCAAAGAGCAGGAAGGTGAAGCAGAGAGAGTGTGGCCTACATCCAGAGACAAAGAAAGTTCCCAGAATCCTCATGAGAAACCACGCCCACAATGAGGCATCATCAGGCTGTGACCTGATTGACAGGCTAGACTCCACCCCTTCACTCTTAATATCCTCAGGTTGACACAAGATTATGTAACTACCACAATGAGCTCAGTTGAAAGGGGATTCGGATGTGAGAAATAAAATCCCTGTAGCAATTCTAAATATGAATGGAAAGAACTCACAATGTATGTTATCATTAAATTTAAAAGAGTACTTATTCACAGTTCTATCTACCAGAAAGAATTACCTAGTCAGTAGCCATAACCCCTCTGGTACCCAGACTGTGGTGTCTGGAAAAGCAGGGATCCCAGAGAAGTGACTGATTGTAGGTCTGGGGCGTGACATGTAAAACATACCTCTGAAACATCCCATCACCTTGGAAAGCAAGGAAGCTACCAGCACTGTGAGATTCTTATCAAGGGACTCGGAGACCAGCCTGAATACGCTTCTGTTGGCTAAAATCAGCGACTGTTCATCATAAGCAGCTACCATCGTCATATCCCATCAAGCCGGTGCCGAAGCTGCTGTCAAAAATATCAATTTATCTTGTTGAAGGGCTTCTTTTTTGCATGCCTTCTACTAAGCATGATGTGTTCTCCAAGGATTGTTCCCTCATCAAGACCTAATAACATGCCAAAAGTGAGCGAGACGAAGTCTTGACATCTTTGTTTCTAAGGAGCATTCGACCCGTGCTTCTTACAAGATCATTTTTTTCATCCGTCTGGTAGTCAATGATCAATTCAATGTATGCCACCAACATGATCAACAATAAGCACACGAATCGAGTCTTCTTGATTCTTCCGGCTCCGCTGTCCAGCTTTCCCGTGCACGTGAGGCTAAGGTGCACCTGAGACTTCCAAGTGCAACTTTGCCCTTCACACTTGAAAAGGTTGTTTGCAGCAGATTTGCTCGATGCCGTATGCCATTTGATTCCTTTCCTTCTGCTTGTGGGTATTGGTTGTGGAGTCTAGTAAAATGAGATCCTTAACAACTGCAGGTTTTCCTCTGGTCTTATCGGTCCAGTTGTGCAGATTTTAAAAAATTATATATCGAAATGTAATCCATACAAAAGATTATAGTCCTTGTTCTTCATCATTAAGTGCTTCAAATACTCTTCACTTTAAGCAAACAAATCGATGTCATCTGCATATTCGAGGCCTACCTAACCATCACCATTCTGGCACAGTCTGACCCTGTAAGACATCGTGTAACTGCCTGATTTGGTTTCCGGGGCTGTAAATCTTTAAGGGAGCAGAAAGCTTTATTTTTCTTTCACAGAGCAACTGATAGATTTGAACTGCTGATCATATAGTTAGAAGCCCAGATCAGAACCCACTTTGCCACAAGACTCCCAACAAATGCATGTAAACTCACTACCATCAAGTCAATTCTGACTCACGGCGACCCTAGCTGTGCATATAGCACAGTGTTAATGATTCCTCCTCCAGTGCCAATACCATGTTCTTCCCGTATTCCAACTTCTCAGGTCACTTGCTCAGCATAAAGACTGGATAAGTCATGGCAAAAGGACACAACCCTGACTCACACGTCATGATTTTAAACCAAGCATTACCCTTTTGTTCTGTCTAAATAGTTGCCTCTTGGGCTATGTACAGGCTCTACCTGAGCACTATTAAGTGTTCTGTAATTCTCGTTCTTCACAATGTTATGTATGATTTGTTAGATCATCAATAAAGGTAATAAATTCATAATGGTCCTTAAAAAACAACAAAATTCCTCAATGATCTTTTTTAAAGGTTACTCGAAAACCAACCCATTATTTTTAAAATGAAAAAATACAGGAAAGAATAAAACATTCATTCTGTCTTTTCTATATGATTTGTACTTCAGAGTTACTAAACAGTTGAGGAGGGCAATGTTTCTTTCCAGTGTTTAGGCTAATATGCCCACTCTCCCAGCCATCAAGCTGATGCTAACTCACAGGACAGAGTAGAACTTCTTCATGGAGCTTCTGAGCCTGTCAACCTTGACACCAGTGGATGGTCTCATCTTCCTCCCTTGGAGGGAGTAGGCGGTTTAAGCTATCAA